TGGAACCTTCTCAAAAATCAACCACATGCTTGGCAACATATCAAACCTCAACAGTTACAAAAATTGGAATAACTCCATGTATCTTATTACCACCACGCATGAAAATTAGAATTCAACAACAACACAAATTACAGAAACCCTACAAATTCATGGAAATTTAGTAATACAACATTCCTGGTTCAAAGAAAGAATGCAAAAAGAAATTAAAGACTTTCTAGAATTCAATGAAAATGAAGACACAACATACCCAAACTTATGGGACACTCTGAAAGCAGTGCTACGAAGGAAGTTCATAGCTCTAAGAGCCCACATGAAGGAAATGGAGAATAGTTACAATAGAGAATTAACAGCACAACTGAAAGCCCTTGAACACAAAGAAGCAAACTGACTCAGGAGGAGTGGATGCCAGGAAATAATCAAATTGAGGGCTGAAATCAATGAAGTAGAAACTAGGAAAACAATACAAAGAATCAGTGTAACGAAGAGTTGGTTCTTTGAGAAAATCAACAAGATAGACAAACCTTTATCCACATTTATGAAATGACAGCGTGTGAACTTGCAAAGTAACAAAATCAGGAATGAAAAGTGGGACATAGAAATGGACACTGAGGTGGTGCACGCCTTTAATCCCAGTACTCGGGAGGCAGAGGCAGGCAGATCTCTGTGAGTTCGAGGCCAGGCTGAATTGACAGCCTCGAAAACAATACAGAGAAACCCTGTCTCATAAAACCGAAAAAAAGGACACTGAGGAAATCCAGAGAATCAGGATACTTTGAAAACCTGTACTCCACATAATTTGAAAATTTAAAGGAAATGAACAATTTTTTGGATAGATATCACTTGCCATAAGTAAATCAAAACAGACAAGAAATTTAAGTAGACCTACAAACCCTAAGGAAATAGAAGCAGTCATCAAAAGTCACCCAACCACAAAAAGCCCAGATCCAGATGATCTCAGTGCAGAATTCTATCAGAAATTCAAAGAACAGCTTATACCAATTCTCCTCAAAGTATTTCATGCAATAGAAGGGTCTTTGCCAAACTCTTTTTATGAGACTTTAACAACCTTGATACCCAATCCACACAAAGACACAACTAAGAAACAGAACTTCAAACCAATATCCCTCATGAATATTGATGTAAAAATACTCAAGAAAATACTGGCAAATCAGATCCAAGTACACATCAGAAAACTCATCCACCATCATCAAGTAGGCTTCATTTCAGGGATGCAGGGATGGTTCAACATATGAAAATCCATCAGTGTAATCCAGCATAAAAATAAGCTGAGAAACAAAATTCACATGATCATCTCAGTAGATGTTAAAAAAGCCTTTGACAAAATCCAACACCCCTTCATGATAAAGGTCTTGGAGAAATCTGGAATAACAGGAACTTACATTAACATAATAAAAGCTATATACAACGAACCAACAGCAAACATCAAACTAAATGGACAGCAACTCTACACGATTCCTCTAAAATCAGGAACAAGAACAGGCTGTCTACTCTCTCCATACCTTTTAAATATTGTCCTTAAAGTTCTAGTAAGAGCAATACGACAACAAACGGAGATCAAGGGGATATAAATTGGAAAGGAAGAGGTCAAACTTTCACTATTTGCAGATGATATGATAGTTTATATAAGTGAACCAAAAAAACTCTAACAGGGAACTCCTATAAATGATAAATACCTTTAGTAAAGTGGCAGCTTACAAGATCATCTCAAGATAGTCAGCAGCCCTACTATATACAGATGATAAAGGGGTTGAGAAAGAAATCAGAGAAACATTTTCCTTTACAACATAAAATACCTTTGGGTAATACTAACCAAACAAGTGAAAGACCTGTATTGCAAGAACTTTGATTTTTTTAAAAGAAAGAAGTTAAAGAAGATACCGGAAAATGCAAAGATCTCTCATGCTCTTGGATAGGTCGGAGCAGCATAGTAAAAATGGCAATCTTACCAAAAGCAATATATAGATTCAATGCCAACCCCATTAAAATCCCAGCACAGACCTTAAATGAGCAATTCTCAACTTTATATGGAAACACAAGACAGAGGATAGCCAAAACAACCCTGTTCAACAAGGCAATGTCCAGAGGCATCACCATCCCTGACTTCAAGCTATATTATAGAGTTATAGTCCTGAAAACAGCTTGGTATTGGCACAAAAATAGTCAGGTAGAACAATGGAATCAAATTGAACACCCTCATATAAACCCACACACGTATGAACATCTGATCTTTGACAAAGAAGCTAAAATTATACAATGGAAAAAAGAAAGCATCTTCAACAAATGGTGCTGGCATAACTAGAGGATGCCATGTAGAAGACTGCAGGATAGATCCATGTCTGTGGCCATGCACAAAACTTAAATCCAAATGGATCAAAGACCTCAACATAAATCCAGCCACAGTGAACCCCTTAGAAGAGAAAATTGGAGGTACTCTTGAAAGAATTGGTGCAGGAGACTGCTTCCTGAACCTAACTCCAATAGCACAGACACTGAGATAGACAATTAATAAATGGGACCTCCTGAAGCTGAGAATCTTCTGTAAGGCAAAGGACATAGTCAGCAAGACAAAAAGGCAACCCACAGATTGGGAAAAGATATTCACTAACCACACATCTGATAGATGGCTTATCTCCAAAATTTACCAAGAACTCAAGAAACAGTTTCCAAAACACCAAAGGTTCCAATCAAAAAGTGGAGTACAGAACTAAATAGAGAATTCTCAGTAGAGGATTCTAAAATGGCTGAGAGAAACTTAAGAAAATATTCAACATCCCTAGCTATCCAGGAAATACAAATAAAAACAACTCTGAGATATCTTACTCCTGTCAGAATGGCTAAAATAAAAAACTCCAGTGACAGTTTATGCTGGAGAGGTTGTGGAGAAATTGGAATACTCCTTCACTGTTAGTGGGAGTGCCAACTCATACAGCCACCTTGGAAATCAATATGGAGATTCCTCAGCAAAATGGGAATCAGTCTACTTCAAGACCCATCAATTCCTTTGTTATGCATATACCCAAAAGATGCACATTCATACATCAGGGACATATGTTCCACTATGTTCATAGCAGCATTATCTGTAATAGCCAGAACCTGGAAGCAACCTAGACACCCCACAACTGAAGAGTGGATAGAGAGAATGTGGTACATTTCCACAATGGAGTACTGTTCAGCAGAATAAAACAATGGAATCTTGAAATTTGCAGGCAAATGGATGGCACTAGAAGAAACCATCATTACTGTGGTAACCCAGTCACAAAAAGAGCAACATGGTATGTACTCACGCGTATATGGATTTTAGACTTGAATCAGGGGAATGGTAGCATACAATCCCACTGCCAGAGAGTCTGGGAAACAGAACCTTCATCCAGCAACTGGTGAAAAGAGAGGTAGATACCCACAAGTAAACACTGAACTTAACTCCAGGAATCCAGTGACAGAAAGGGAGACCTGATGAGCAAAAGGGTTAAGACTGGTCTGGTTTAACCCCCAGAAACAGATGACCTGAACAAGGGGGAGCTCTTGAACCCCAGAATGATGGCTATGTGGAAAGCCTGGGACTGATCAAGACCCCCTGAATGTTGGTGTCAGTGAGTAGGCCTAGGTAATCTATGGAGCCTTGGTTAGTATTTATCCCTGATGTACAAATGGACTTTGGCGGCCCATTCCATAATGAGGGAAATTTCTCAGCCTGGACACTTGTGGGAAGGCCTAGGCCGTGCCCTGGTTGAAATGACAGAATCTGGAGATCGTCCATGAAGGGCCTCACCCTTCCTGGGGATCGGAGTGGAAATTGGGTGGGGAACTGGGGGGCCTGCTGGGAGGAATAGGGGAGAAGCGGGGAGAGCTGGGGAGCTTAGTTTGACATGTGAAGCAAGCTTGTTTCTAACTTAAATAAAAAAGGAAGAAAAAATAGAATAAATAAAAAGAAAGCTAAAAAAGAAAATATACAGAAAAACCCACCTTGTACTGTAATAAGAAATATGTCTCATACATTTATAAAATAAAGACTTGCATGGTAAACACCATAAAAAAGATATAATGTAAGCGATTCAAGAAAGTTTGATAATTTTATAAGTATCCACTCAATTATCACAATCAAATTATAAAGTCTTTTAATTGTTCCTACTATTTTTTCATGTCCTTGCCCCATGAAAACACTGATCTCCTTTCTGATTCATCAGAATGTCCTATAACTGAAACTGCATAGTCTATACCTTTTTGTGTATGTATTATTAGTAAATTTGCTCTTTATGAGCAAGAAGAGGTATACAACAACATATTCATTCATTGTTTCTTCTGATATTGAAGATGTGTGGTGATTCTGTCTCTTACATATTATTAATAAAGCTTATCTAAACATTTTTTGTGTGGGTGTATGTTTTCAGTTCTCTTGGGTATTTATTTCTAAAGTGGATGGCTGGAGCATATAAAAACCATATATTTAACTTTGTAGAAATGTGCCAAACTAGAGTAACTCAACTTTTTCATAACATATAAGGCATGGGTCAGAGTTCATTCTAGCCAACCCACAACTTTGCCAACACTTGGTATTATCCATATTTTAACTATTTTAGTGCTTAAAACTAATATATCTTGGTTGTTTGTTATTTAACATTGATATGAATTTTAAAATGTTTTATGATATATTAGTTATACATTGTAATATTTCCATATATGTTGCACACAATATATTTTGTCCATACTCCTGTAGCTCTCTTCTTTTGTCCTCCTTCCACTCCTGTTGCTATTTTTCCTTCTCTTCTCTTCCCATGTCTATGTTTGTGGTCAATAAGTTTCATTACAGTTCCGTATAAAAATGGTGTGTGTGTGTGTGTGTGTGTGTGTGTGTGTGTGTGTGTGTGTGTGTGTGCATGGACACCAATGACTATACTATTGAAGTAAATGTGTCTTCTTTTCCCAACATGCATTAGCTACCAATGTATCATAATGGAACCCCACGAACCCTTCCCTCTCACCTGCCATTAACTGCTTACATCTAGACGTGTGCAGATCTTGTGCAGGCAATCATGGCTGCTGTCCTTCCTTCAGCTCTTAATGTTCTTTCACTCTGTCTTCCATAGTTCTTCCTGTGCTCTGGGGGCAGGGTTAGAGTCAATCCTGTTGTGGAATAATATTTTTGTACACTATGTAAATATGTCACACATTAAAAACTAAACAGGCAATAACTAGGCAGGATTTTCGGGGCAGAGAGGATTGTGGGAAGAAGAAGGTGGAGTTGCCAGCCATATATAGAAAACTAGCAAGGGCAAAATGGTGATGAGATAATGAGTATGTGGAAGGCTGTAGATTAAGAAATGTGGGTTAATTTAAGTTATAAGTAGTTAGAAACAAGTCTAAGATAAGGCTGAGCTTTCATAATTAACAATAAATCTCCATGTTGTTTTTTTGTGAAATGGCAGCCCAAAGAAAGATTAATTTGCAAATGGTCCCCAATTTCTGCCCATAAATATCCACTATTCACATAAATCCCAAGAAAGCTTAAAAATTAGTTTGGGCTTCAATTCCCTCCAGCCCCTGCCCTGTTGAGGTGAGTGGGGGCTCTGCTCTGGGCCCCAACTCCCAACATCCCCCTGCTTCCATCTCACTGGACATGCCCTGTGCCTAGAGAGGACCTGTCCCACCAGAAAGGATCACTCCGAATCTGGCAACACATCAGTCTTCACTCTGGCCCCTGCCCTGAGATTGAGTCTTCAGTTTTCTCCAGTCTCCACATGGGCTTGAGAATGTCTCAGACACACCTGCACCCATTGTGTGACCCATCAGAGTGTTAGACCTGCTTGAACGCACTGAAAGAGATCCTTAGACCAAAACACATCAGGAGAGGAAAAGACCCCATGAGCTCCTTCTGAATAAAGGGATGGGAAGACAGCAATATAAAAGCACAGCCAACAAGTATGACACAACCAGAGTCTATAAAGTCTACACCAGCAAGACCTGAACATCGCAACACAGATGAAACAGAAAAGAATGACCTTCAAAGCAACCTCATGAAAATGATAGAGGTCCTCAAAAAGATATGAGAAAACCCCTTAAAGAAATGGAAGAAAAAAAAAACAAAACATGTAAGAAATTAACAAATCTGTAAAAGAAAGCCAAGAAAAAACAATCAAACAGATGAAGCAAACAATTCAAAAAGTTTAAGACCTGAAAACTGAAATGGAGACACACACACACACACACACACACACACACACACACACACACACACCCTGAGGTAATGCTGGAAATAGAAAAACTGAATAAACTATCCGGAACTACAGATGCAAGCATAACTAACAGAATACAAGAGATGGAAGACAGAATTCATGCACTGAAGATAGACTAGAGGAAATAGATTCATCGAAAAAAGACAGTCTTAAATGAAACAAGTCCTTAACACAAAATATCCAGGAAATATGGGACACCATGAAAAGACCAAACCTAAGAAAAATAGGTATAGAAGAAGGCGAAGAAGCCCAGCTCATTGGTACAGAAAACATATTCAACAAATCATAGGAGAAAACTTTCCCAACCTGAAGAAGGAGATGCCTCTGAAAGTACAAAAAGCTTACAGAACACCAAATAGACTGGACCAAAAATATTCCCCTCACCGCATAATAATTAAAACACAAAACATACAGAATAAAGAAAGACTATCAAGAGCAGCAAAGGAAAAATGCCAAGTAACATATAAAGGCAAACCTATCTGAATTATACCTGACTTCTCCATGGAAACTGTGGAAGCCAGAAGGTCCTGGATAGATGTTCTACAAACACTAAGAGACCACAGATTCCAGCCCAGACTACTATTCCCAGCAAAACTCTCAATCACTATAGATGGAGAAAACAAGATATTCCATGACAAAACCAGATTTAAACAATACGTATCCACAAATCCAATCCTACAGAAAGTTCTAGAAGGAAAACTCTTACCCAAGGAAGTTAACTACACTCATATAACATGGCCAATAGATAATCTTACTTTACCAGAAGTCGGAAAGAGGGAAAAAAACCTCACAAAAAAAAACCGCCACTAAAAACTGATCCAAAGCAAACAAGAATCAACAATCAATGATCATTAATATCCCTGAATATCAAAGGTCTTAACTCAGCTATAAAAAGACACAGGGTAACAGAAGGGAAACAAAGACAGAATGCATCCTTCTGCAGCATACAAGAAACACACCTCAATTTCAAAGGCAGACATTACCTCAAGGCTAAGGGTTGGGAAAAGATGTTCCAATCAAGTGGACATAAGAAGCAAGCTTATGTATCCTATTATCTAACAAAATAGACTCCAAACTAAATGGAGAAGGTAATTTCATATTCATCATAGGAAAAATACATCAGGATGAAGTCTACGCCCCAAATACAAAGGCAAACATTTTCATAAAAGGATCATTATTAAACTCAAATCACACATTAAACTCCACACACTTATAGTGGGAGACTGCAATACCCCACTCTCAATACTGGACACATCCTCCAGACAGAAACTTAACAAAGAAACAATTGAACTAACAGAAGTTACGATCCAATTGGGTTTAACACACATCTATAGAACATTCTATCCAAACAAAAAAGAATATACCTTGTTCTCAGCACCACATGGAACCTTCTCTAAAATCAACCACATACTTGGCAACATATCAAACCTGAATAGGTACAAAAAATTGGAATAACTCCCTGTATTTTGTCAGATCACCATTGCTTAAAATTAGAATTCAACAACCACACAAATTGCAGAAACCCCACAAACTCATGGAAACTGAGCAATGCTCAGTTGCATCACCCCTGAGTAGAGGAAGAAATAAAGAAGGAAATCAAAGACTTCCTAGAATTCAATGAAAATGAAGGCAAAACATACCCAAACCTATGGGATACTCTGAAAGCAATTCTAAGAGGAAAGTTCATAGCAATAAGTGCCCACGTGAAGAAACTGGAGAATTGCCACACTAGAGAATTAACAGAACACCTGAAAGCTCTAGAACAAAAAGAAGAAAACTCACCCAGGAGGAGTAGAAGCTAGGAAATAATCAAATTGAGAGCTGAAATCAATGAAGTAGAAACAAAGAAAAAAATATAAAGAATCAATGATACACAGAGTTGGTTCTTTGAGAAAATCAACAAGATGGACAAACCTTTATCCAACCTAATGAAAAAACAGAGACAGAACATGCTAATTAATAAAATCAGAAATGAAAAAGGGGGCATAACAACAGATCCTGGGAAAAATTGAAAGAATCATCAGGTCAAGGAAGGGCTAATACCAATACTCTTCAAGTTGTTCCACCTAGCAGAAGCAGAAGAATCGCTACAAAACACTTTTTACGAGGCTACAATTACCTTTGTACCCAAACCACACAAAGACACAACCAAGATAGGAACTTACTGACCAATCTGCCTTGTGAACATTGATGCAGAAATACTCAATAAAATACTTGTAAATAGAATCCAAGAACACATCAGAAAAATCATAACGCTATAATCAAGTAGGCTTCATCGCAGGGATGCAGGGATGGTTCAACGTATGAAAATCCATCAATTTAATCCACCATATAAACAATCTGAAAAAGAAAAACCACATGATCATGTCACTAGATGCTGAAAAAGCCTTTGATAAAATCCAGTACTCCTTCATGATAAAGGTCGTGGAGAGATCAGGGATAACAGGAACATACCTAAACATAATAAAAGCTATATTCAGCAAACCAACAGTCACCATCGAACTAAATGGAGAGAAACTCAAAGCGATTCCTCTAAAATCAGGAACAAGACAAGGATGTCCACTCTCTCCATTTCTCTACAATATTGTACTTGAAGTTCTTGCTAGAGCAATAAGACAACAAAAGATCAATGGGATACAAATTGGAAAAGAAGTCAAACTTTCACTATTTGCAGATGATTTGATAGCTTACGTAAGTGACCTGAAAATCTCTACTAGGGAACTCCTACAGCTGATAAACACCTTCAGCAAAGAGGCAGGATACAAAATTAACTAAAAAAAACCCCAAACAGTAGCCCTACTTTATATAGACTATAAAGGGGGATGAGAAAGAAATTAGAGAAACATCGCCCTTTTCAATACCCACAAACCCATAAAATATCTTGGAGTAACTCTAACCAACAGGTGAAAGATATGTATAACAAGAACTTCGAGTCTTTAAAGAAAGAAATTAAAGAAGATAGCAGAAAAGTTAAAGATTTCCCATGTTCTTGGATAGATAGGTCAGCATAGTAAAAATGGCAATTTTACCAAGTGCAATTTAGAGATTCAATGCAATCCCTATCAAAATACCAGCACAATTTTTCACAGACCTCCAAAGGACAATCCCTAAACTTATATGGAAAAACAAAAAACCCAGGATAGCCAAAACAACCCTGTACAATAAACGAACCTCTGGAGGCATCATCATCCCTGACTTCAAGCTCTAATATATTGCTATAGTCCTGAAAACAGCTTGGTATCGGCACAAAAACAGTCAGTACTTCTCAGTAGAAAAAGAAATGGAATCTGGAAATTTGCAGGCAAATGGATAGCACTAGAAGAAACCATTTTGAGTGAGGTAACCTAGTCACAATAAGACAAACATGGTGTGTACTCACTCATATATGGATTGTAGCCTGCAATCCCAGCGCCAGAGTGTCTGGTCATCAGGGAGGACCCTAAGATAGATATGCATGGCAGGTTAGGGCAGGATATCTCATAATTGGATTGGAAATAGGGGAGAGGGGAGGAGTGAGGGGGATGTGAGAAAGAGTGGGGGAGAAGAGTAGAGTAGAGGAAGACATGGGGAAACAGGAAGGTTGAGCGTGGGCAGGAATAGAGGAGAGAATGATGCGTGGGAGCCATTATAAATTGGAGGAGATATCCGACACTAGTGAGATCTTCACAGATCTACAAAAATGACACCAACTGGCATTAAGACTACTTTGAATGCCCTCCCCTGATAATGAAATTGATATGCCATCCTAGAATCCTCATCCAGTAGCTGATGGAAGCAGAGGCAGACACCCACAGCTAAACACTGAACTGAACACCTAGAGCCCAGTTGCAAAGAGGAATGATGAGCAAAATAATCAAGACCAGGCTGGCAAAACCCACAGAGGCAGGTGACCTAAACAAGGGAGAATGCATGGACCCCAGACTGATGACTGAGAGAACAGCATGGGACTGATCCAGACACCTCCTCTCCAACATGGGTGTCAGAGATGAGGCCTCAGCAATCTATGGGACCTTTGGGGAGTCCATTCCACTTGGATGAATGCAGTCTTAGCCTGGACACATGGGGGAGGACCTAGGTCCTTCCCGGGATTATATGATAGACTCTGAAAGTCCCTCATGAGTGGCCTTACCCTCCCTGGGGAGCAGAGAAGCGATGGAGTGGGGTGGGGGATTGGGAGGAATGGGAACTTGGGGAGGAGGGGAGGGAGATGAAACTGTGAGTAACATGTGTAAAAAGTTAAATAAAAATTATTGTATATACAAGTAAAATAAGTTTGGAACATGGAGTCAAAGGCAGTTTCCTGGTGACCTCTGTCTCTTGGGTAGGCTTTTTTAAAGAGAGTCTCTGCAGGCTGGAGCCAAATTGTACCACCTTGTGCCAGCGTCATTTGCTAAGCTAAACTGTGCTAGTGACTGGCATGGGAGTTTAAGATTTTTTTCACTTGATTTGAGAACATTGCAAGGGTGTAGTAAAGACATATCCAGGCAGAAAAAATCTTCTAAACAGGTTACAGTATGTTTAAAAACACGCATAGACTTAAGAAAGAAAAGAAAATGGATATAGACAGTCATAGAAAAAATAGTTTATAAAAAATAGAAAAAGAATAAAAAAATAAGTTTATAAAAAATAGAGATGGAAAATACACAGGGAATTTGGATCCTGTATGGTGCTGTATTGACTCTTTTTCTGTTTCAGACTTTTTGTACCTTTATTATAAACAAACACATAATGCCTCAATATAGCAGTAGTTGCCAGGATGTAGTGACATATGGAAATTTTACAAAGTACACAAGATTAATGTCTAAGACCAAGTGTCCTGTCAAGTTTCCATGCTTTGTTGACTTCTGAAGGAACATATGGAGAAATACAAAGCAGCCTGTAAGTTTCACTGCATGAGGGAGTGTGTCAGTCTCTCAGAAACTAGAAGGCACGTTGTGCCCCAGGAGTCATGCACCCTAACCTGAAAAACCTATGACTCATGCCTCTCAAGGCAGTTAGACCAGGCCAACTTCATGATTCCCTGCGCCAGTAGAGGCCTCTACAGCTCAGAGGTCCTGGTCCTTCACTAGCTCTCAGCTTTGCCTGCTGCTGACAGTCATCTAGGCTGAGGTCTGTAAATTCAGGTGTACTCAGAGGCCAGGGCCCTGCGTGGATAATAAAGTTCCAGACAGAAGAGAATAACAGATAAGCAGCACTAGAAAATGGATGGTAGGTTGCTCTGCTGGGGCCAGGAAGGAGCTGGAAACTCTACCTGAGGCAGGACATGATTGGGAAAGCAGCAATGATTGGGAGTTGGCAGGTCAGGCAGTCCCTAGCTGTCCATGCTTTGGAGAGGCCTGCTGCCA